TCACAGAACAACTAATACTACTTTCCTAAGCATTAAAAGAGATCAAACATTCTATTCTTATGTGCTCTACTCATATGAGAATATTCTGCCTTGAAATTAGAATAAAGATGGTCTGCGCGTATGTGTCTGGGTGAGAGGTTTGGCGTTGACAGGAAAGAGCTTTGAGTAGCCCTGAGCTCTTCATAAAGTGTAAAATACAGATCCACTGTCAAGGAGAAGCAGCCTGAGAACCACCTGTAGAACCAAATAGATCAAAGCTTAAATTTGATCTATTCCACTTACTGGCTGGGCCCTGGGCCATGTGAGGGTTTTTTTACAGTATAACTACAAAAATACTATATACAATTATACTGTATATATTTTTTAGTTTACAGTGTAATAGATTGAATATTGTATCCCAAATTTCATGTCCCCTGGAAGTCTATGAATGTGACATTTGAAAATGGGGTCTTTGCAGATGTAATCAAGATGAAATCATATTGGATTAACGTGGGGCCTAAATCCAAGGGGAAAAAAACAGGATATTTTATTGGAAAAATTAATCGCATTTATAGCAGGCTCAGAAAGTTGCTTTAATGTGAATGATGTTTTCCACATGCTGACTTTAAAAGTACCCTCCAGATCACAGTATTACATCATCCTAAAATGTGTAGGTTTCATTGGTTAAAGCCCTGAAAGTCTAACTAGAAAAGGTACCCTTGCTACGAAGAATCACAAGCATTACAAGAAGGAGTCAGTCTAGTGACTGCAAACATTCACAAAAGGGGCTGAACACTGGAAACATGCACAACATTGTGTCAGAGAAAACACGAGGACTACGGACAACCAAAATCAATCTTTTCAAGCAGGGGAAGAAAAAAAATCCTTCTAAAAGGACTTATATTCCGTGTGACCATAATTGCAGGTCTGAATAGAATGTTCTTTCAATTTTGGGGTTGCAATCATTCACTGAAGCATGTATTGATTGAAAAAGCCTCCTGAGAATTCTGATTATCCTAACATTTTTCACTTGGAGTGAAAGGGGCAGCTTTTTTATTTCATTTTATGCAAAATTACAGTAATTGGTGTCTGACCTTTTTGATATGGACTGTTAAGCATTACACTGCTGGATCTTTTCACAGAATCAATTATTTTAATTATGGATGTCTGTCAAGAAGAATCCAGGACATAAACAAGAAAAGCCCATTTAAATAAAATGGAAAACAGATTTTTGGGTGCATAATACAAAAGTACTATTAATTATAAGCTTGACTGTTGTAAGCTTTCAGCACTCATGTTTTTAATCCAATTTTCACTTCTAAATAATTACACTCTCAGAGACAAAGACAATTTATGTAATGAACACACTGAATAACAACATGTATTCTCTCAAAGGAAAGGTATGGACTATGGAAAAGATAAACAACAATGGAAATCTAAATTTAAGACTTAAAAATGCTATAGAGATGTCAATATGTTTTACAGTGGTATTTTATTGGAAGACTCAGGAAAAGATAGTAAAACATCTTAAAGAGTATGTCTTCTATACCAATTTAAATCCGTGTCCTTAAGACTGAAATCTATCTAAAACAAATAGAAGGAAATGGTAATAAAAATACTACAGTTTTATATTAGATCAGTTTTCATTTTCAACTAATAGTAATGACTACAAACTATTACCACCATATGACCAAATCCTTAACCCACAATAAAAGTCTCTGAGTTCATCTGGCAAAATGTTAGTGCAACATAACCAGCTGACTGTTCTTAATCCATCATCTCCCAGTGGGCTCCCCTGCAGTTCAGTCAGTAAATCCACCTGCAGTGCAGGAGATCTGGGTTCCATCCCTGGGTCAGGCAGATCCCTGGAGAAGGAAATGGCAACCCACTGCAGTATTCTTGCCTGGAGAATCCTACAGACAGAAGGGCCTGGAGGGCTACAGTCCACGGGGTCACAAAGAGTCGGACACGACTCAGTTTAGTCATCACCACCACCTCTCCCAATATTTGTGTTTAAAACTGTTGGCTGTAAAACTCTGTACTTGGACATTTACAAACAACACAGGTAGATTTCATCTCTTCTATGGGGTCCAATTCAGAAAAACACTGAAATAATTTACCAAGAGAAGTACTTTTTAAAAATATTTAAAATAATTTCACCTCTGAAAGGATTAAGAGAATGGTGTGTGAACATTTCACTTTCATGTAATTTTTTTTTTTTTCTGAAAACAACTAGGACCTCAGGATACTGAAGGAGTAAGTGATAGAACTGGTAAGTGTGGCAAAAAGTAGGTGCTAGCAACAAAGAAGCACAACTGGTAAAGGAGAGGAGCGGAAGGCCCAACAAGTGGATTTCCTCTTTGCAGAAAAGAAAAGCTGCATGTTGCAGAAAAGAGCAAAGCTCTTTGAGTTCTTTGGGAACAAATGGTCCCTGTGAAGCGGTCTGAGGATGTCTATAGGAGGAGACTATATGTATAATTTAACTGAGGGAGAAGCTACATTGTGTGTGTGTGTGTGTGTAACTCAGTCATGTCTGACTCTTTTGTGACCCCATAGACTGTCAAAGGGGGCCTGGAGATGCAAACCAAATTTTGGTTATGTTTTATAAATATACCCCAGGTGTATTTGCACCTGATTTACTGTGAGTTGGAAAGTATCAGAACAGAAGCAAAGCTATTACTACTGGAAGGAGCCTCACTGATTTCCTGGTGCTGGAGGGACAGCAACAACCCCAACATACATAGGAACATGCAACATCTTGGATCCTGGGACTTACCCAAGAGTGGAGGACATTGACAGTCTTTTCTCCTCCAGAGTCTCAACACAGCATTTGCAAGGAAGGCAAATACCCTGGTGCAGCTCTCCCGAACAATTGCAAACACTTTCAATTTAACTAATTATTGGATCTATCAGCCCCGTCAAAGACTCTGATCATTATTGGGCCACCCTTGTTTCTGGGCTTCTCTGGTCCTCAGATGGTAAAGAAATTGCTTCCGAGGCAGGAGACCTGAGTTCAAACCCTGGGTCAGGAAGATCCCCTGGAGAAGAAAACGGCAACCCACTCCAGTATTCTTGCTTGGAGAATCCCATGGACGGAGGAGCCTGGTGGGCAACAGTGCATGGGGTCGCAAAGAGTCAGACACGACTGAGCAACTTTCACTTCCCTTCACCAAGATATCTGTCTACCTAGAACAGCTAAGGATGGTTCCAGTTCTCCTACATCTTGCATGAAACATCCGTCGAGTTTTCTCCCCACCTCCACTGCTGTAGCCTTCATTCAAATCTGAGACAATACTCTAGGTATAGAAGCCAAGTGTTAGCTTGCCTCTCTTCTCAAAATACACTGAACTGCATATTACGCAAGGAAATAAGACCTTAAAGTGTTATGGAAGCACCACTAGTGGGTCAGATAGATTCCAGATGACTCAGGGATCTCCCCAAAGTGTAACCCTTTGGTTACCATAGGGAGTTACCCAGAAGGACAACATGCCCTGTGTGCAGTTATCTTTCCAATGGGAGTCACCAATTGTAAAAGATGACGTGAACTATGTCCCTGATTTTATCTGCAGTGAGCCATGACACCATCTCTGAAAGGGAAACAGCCTCAACTCACTGGCCAGTGTCTTTATGGATGATAGATTGGCCTCATGCTTTTTCCTTATGAGCCAAGTAAGAGTTCTGAAATTGTTAATACCTCTGGCTGTACCTGCTTAATTCCACAGGTCAAATAGAAAGGTTGAGTAAGAAATTGTGAGAAAGCCATCTGACTTTCTAAGACAGACCATGGGGCTTAATGGGATTTGTTCGGCTGGCTGGTTCCAGGACCATGTGCATCATGGCTGAAATCAATACCACCGGGTGGTCTCATCCTACTTTCTGGGCACTGTGTTGATAGTAGTTTTATTTAAGTTTTGCTTGAGGCAAAACTTAATCTTTCAGATTCATCAGAATGGCTGACAGAGAATTCAGCAGAATCTAAAACAAGGTACCAGTGAGGGGTGGATATCTGGGGGAGGTGGTTGTCCTTGGCTTTCTCAAATCTTCACATGTCTTTTAGCAAAGGCACTAATGGCCTCTGTTCCCTTATGTTGGTATAGGATGTTGGTAAGATGCTTTCAAGGATGTTGGTTAGAGCAAGACACACAGCCAAGTGCAGTGTCCATGGAAGACGGAGACAGGGTCTTCCTCTGAAGCCAAGGGCATGCCGACGGTCCTTCATGACAGATGGGAGCTCCTTAAGCTGGAGATTCTTCCCTGTAACGTCACCCACTGTGTGTGCACATGCCCTCTTCCTGTCACCGCCGTGATGACTATCAGCCGCCTAAGACAATGCTGCTACCCTGACTGTGCCTCCTGTGAGTGGTCAAGTCTTTGTCTCTGATTAAGAGTCTCATGTGCTCTGTCAGCCTCCGTGAAAAGCTCTGACTGACGGGCTTTGTAGTTTGCAATTAAGGCGAAATTTCATAGGCGCACTAGGTTTTGACAAGTGCTCTTTCTGTAACCTGATCCAACCATAACTCACATTTGTTTAAATCTCTTTCCATGTTTATAAGGAAGAGGATATTAATCTTGGCTTTGTATGCACTGCCTTTCAAATACCAAATACTGAATACACATAGAGCCATCCAATACTTTCTTTGTCTTTATTATCTATTGTTTTTTCCCTACAAAGAATTGTGTGTTTCACAGAAATGTCCAGTTCAGTCACCTGAAACTGGAGGGTCTGCTATGAAAATCAGTTTTTTAGAAACACAAGGAAGATAGTATAAGTAATACAGAAAAGCCATTGTAAGCACTGTACACAACTGAGTCTTTTTATTGTTACGTATTAAAACATTTTTTTCAGTATGCTAAACTACTTCCATTTATGCAAACAGAAAACCTGTCTTTAGGAAAAAAAAGCTGTGTATTTTCATTTATCTGTCACATGTTCAGCACTAGACCAAGCTGTACAAAGACAAGGTCCTAAGTAACTTCTGCTGTGTGCACAAATGTGTACACATTATGTTATTCAAAAACAGGTGGAACGGACATGGTGTGAGAAGTGAGGACAGGAACTGCCTTCGGATGGAGCTGAGACTGGAAGGTGAGATGGAGGAGGCTTCCACGGTGGAGTCATGTTCTATTTTTAACTCTGAGTGTTGGTTATGTGGACTAACATCACCAACCAACCTATGCATTTAGCTGTGCTTGCCTTTCTCTACGTGCATGTTATACATCAACGAAAAAAGTTACATTAAAATGAGGTACTTTGAGGGCCCAGAAAAGGGACACCAAACAAAGCAAGCTTGGAGGCTAAGAAAGCTTCCTGGAGAAAATAATGGCTAAAAGGAGTCTTAAAGGGTGGAGTTGATGGGGTAGAGTTGAAATGTAAGGTGGTGCATGTCAATAGACAGGATGCTGGCAAGAACACGCTATACAGCGCAGGGAGCTCTATTCATTTTGTTTGTTTTTTCATTTCTTTAGATTCTTTTCCCTTTATAGGCCATTACTTCACATCCATTGAGAGGGTTACATACCATCACAGATTTAATGGACATGAAGTAATGGCCTATAGCAGAAAATAATATAAAACACAAAAAAAGACTGGATATATGTATAAGTATGACTGATTCAGACTTCCCTGGTAGTACAACCATAAAGAATCCACCTGCCAATGCAGGAGATGTGGGTTTGATCCCTGGGTCGGGAAGATCCCCTGAAGAAGGAAATGGCAACCCACTCCAGTATTCTTGCCTGGGAAATCCCATGGCCAGAGGAGCCTGGTGGGCTACCGTCCATGGAGTCGCAAAAGAGTCCAACATGACTCAGCAGCTAAACAGAAACAACACAACTGATTCACTTTGCTGCTCACCTGAAACTAATGCAACGTTGTAAACCAGCTCCAGTCCAATAAGAATTATAAATAAATAGGATGCAAGAAGGTGGGGTAAGAACAGTAAACAGGGACGGTGTTGGAAAACTCTGGCAAGAAACAATTTGAAGGGATGACATTGGAGAGGATACAGGAGCAGATTACAGATGCCCTCTTTATATTGTCAAGGAATATGAGAGTTGGACCATAAAGAAAGCTGAGCACCAAAGAATTGATGCTTTTGAACTGTGGTGTTGGAGAAGACTCTTGAGAGTCCCTTGGACTGCAAGGAGATCCAACCAGTCCATCCTAAAGGAAGCCAATACTGAATATTCATTGGAAGGACTGGTGCTGAAGCTGAAGCTCCAATACTTTGGGCACCTGATATAAAGAGGTGACTCATTAGAAAAGACCCTGATGCTGGAAAAGATTAAAGGCAGGAGGAGAAGGAGACAACAGAAGACGGGATGGCTGGATGGCATCACTGACTCAATGGACATTGAGCAAGCTCCAGGAGATGGTGAAGGACAGGGAACCCTGGTGTGCTGCAGTCCATGAGGTCACAAAGAGTCGGACATGACTGAGTGACTGAACAACAAGTCAGTAAAGAATTGAGAAAAGTCTTAATATCTTGCATTTTAGACACATTTCTATGGAACCATATGCAGGACTGATTGAAGGAGTGGGCAGGAAGAAGGTGACAAACAGACTCAGGGATTTTCCAGCATCTTTGTTGAGAAGCAAAAAGAAAAAATAAAATTTACCTAATACAAGATGCTAGTAAAATATGTCCAGTGGAGAACCTAGCAATAGCATGTTATTATACACAATTTCACAGCTTTCTCTCAAGGACCAGATGGAGAGGCTCTCTATTTCTATTTCAATTCACTCATGAGTTCTGTCCTTTTATTTTCACAATTGGTATCCAAGGTTTCCATTAATTATACAGTACAAACCCTTTCTATATTGCATTTTCATTTTGCTAGAGTTATGATAACAAAACAATACCCTTGGAGGTTGAAAATATATTTCAATCAGCCCAGTTGATTTTTGCATACTGATTACTTTATATCCAGGCAGTTAATCATCAAGCTCAGTGTCATTTAGGATTTCTTCATTTATAGTTATCTCAGACACCAGATAGAAAAAAAAATGTGAAAACTGAAAATGATTTTAATTTCCAAGACTCTTTTCCATCCATTTCAGTAATTACAATTGTGAATATTCCTTCTGACACTGAGCTCTTCCACTTGCATTTTTCTAATGACCATGCTAAAAATCAAAGGAAACTGCTATTTCATTAGAGTTCACAACATGTATCACATGAAGTATTAAATAACACATAACACAATAAGACAACCAGAAATTATGATATTGTGTAGGTATATATGTCCATTTATTTAGCTCTCTAGCCATTTAGATATTAATATATATATATAAGGAGATAGGTAGATAAAGAAAGAAATATTTTAAATACATAGAGAGTAAAAGGTCCTGACTCACGGTTCATAGAGATATTTTAATATATAAATTCTTTAAAAATCATACTACTGGACCTATAATTATCTGTTTTTATGAGAAAATATAAGCGTACTTTGCTGTTGATTATATGCCATACATTCATCTCAATGGCCTGTGTCTTATAACAACAAATAATAGTCATAGTTTAATTTTGAATATACCATTTTTGAAATATACCATTTTGGAATATACCATTTTTGAAATTTTCTACTTCTCTTATTATCTTTCATGTTATTTTTCTCAAAAAAATAGCAAACACTTATTTAATTTATAATTTGCTAATTATGAGAGTTCTTTTCCTAAAACATTGAGAGGCAAAAATAATAATAATAATAAAATTCTTATACTTCAAAATATTACTAAAGGACACAGTGTGTTGAAGACATAAATATACAAAATAGTCATTGTGTCCAAAGAAGAAACTATCACCACCTAGAAGAAATAAGGATTCCTGAATGTGGTGACCACTGGGAGAACTTTGAAAATTTTTAAAAAGGCAATTAAAAGTGTTCAATTTTGAGGAGTTGGGGACCATCATTGTGAGAAATAGAAAAAACAGTTACAGAGGCAGGAAAATAAGTAGATTGAAGAACAGTGAGTAATTTAATGTAATAGGTAGTTTAGAAAAGGTAGGAGAGAAGAGACCGGCTTGGAAAGGTATGCTACAAAATAATACAGTGGACAAACCACCATTCCCAGTCCTGGTTGCTTAATCTCATCAAAGATAAGTTGCAAAATCTTCAGATTTATGGACCTCATCAATTTCAACTCAGTATGTCTGGCATAGTCAATGAGAAGTCACTGAAGGTATCTGAATATCCAAATGAGTTAGTTTGTGATGGGTCTGAAAAGCAACTGGCTTACATTTTGGGTCAGACTGAAACAAAATTGAGGGAGAGATACACAAAAGAAAAACAATAGGCTCATCAAAGCTCACAGATGGAGGAACGTTAGTGATCATCCAGTACCACCCTCTAGGTCCAAAACCCCCACCATCTGAAACACCCACAATCATCAAGCCTGCAACCTATGTTTAACTACTTTCCAAAACTACTTGTGATAGCAACCCAGTTTTATGCATTATGATTCCACTATCTCTTCTAGAAAGATTTTCTGTATTTTTTTCAGACTAGACACAAGTAATTTCTAATTTCTATCTTTTCCTTCTTCCTTACAACTGATCTATAATTTTATTTGATATGGCAATACACGTACCCAAAACAAATTAACTTCACAGACACTATTTCATCCAGGGGTCGTCATGTGACAAAGTTCCAGTCAATAGGACAGAAGTCCCAGTCGGCTAGCCATTTCTGTGCACGTTTTCCTCACTGCCTGGTCTTCCGGTACCCCTCTTCAACCTCCTGCGGAGGACGAAGGTTTGATGCCTGAGATAGAGAGCCATCTTGTGGCCGCGAGACGGAGAACACTTGCTGAGAGTTCCTTAGACAGGAAAGACACTGGATCTTTGGCGTCATCCTTGAGACCACTGAACTCTATGCTTTCTTGTCAAAGTGTTCTAATAAGTAAAAAAAAAAAAAAAAAATTGTATCTAGTTAAGCCATACACTTTCAGCCAAATGCAATCCCAATGGACACGTTTACCCAGACCATAGATCCATAGATTACCCTTGTTAAGAATCTATACACTTCCGATTAAATTGAAATATAATGACGTCAGCTCTGATCTACATTGTACGTCAACATCCAGCCAGTAAGGAAGGGAGGAGCATGGGAAGGCTTCATGTGAGGGATGCTCTGAAGGAGGTGCGGAGGTGGCCGGAGTCAGTCCTGCTCTGTTCTACTGGGGACATCACGTTGCCAGGGAGAGTAGGGGATGCTCCTAGCGGGAGATTCTAGAAGAAACTGAAATTGGTTTTTATGATATGATCAGCCTATCCCTAAAGCCTGTTCTGAGGTTGAAGTCCCGAATTTCAGTTCAAAATGGATGAAATGGCCAGGTTTCCTAAATATTTGGCTTTCTACCTGGACATTTTATAGGGTAGCTAATTACAGCCAGTTGATAAGTAAGGCAACAGTAGTTAGCAGGATTTGATAAGACAAAGGTTTTTCTTAATCATAAGCTGTCACAACAAGAGACTCAGCTATTTCTCACTGGCCAAGACATATCTGTACTTTTCCACATGTGGCAAAGACCCATGCGTAGGGACTCGTTGACCATCACACATATTTCTTCCTTAGCAGGCTAGTGAAGGATTCACTGTTCTTTGTCCTGAAAAGCCTTCTTGTTTTTCCACGATACAGGATAAAGCTTCAGAGGATCCAGGACTAGACTTTTTTCATCTCTAAAAACAAAGTCATGATTGAATAGGGCTACAAATTCACATTTTTTCTCCTGTATTTTCTTTCTATACTCTCAGGGCCCTATTTTACTTCCTCCCTATTCATATTGGTTTGTTTCTATTCATCCTAGTCCAAACATGTTATTCCCTTTTTTGTACTGTTTTTGCCATCTTGCACAGAAAGTCTTTTTTTTTTTCTTTTAAGAAAGAACATAGACCAATTGTAGAGATGGTGTCCTTCAGTCTAATCATGAAGATGAAATTGAGTGTGTAGACACATAGCTTTCCTGGTGGCTCAGACAGTAAGAATCCACCTGCAATGCAGGAGACCTGGATTCCATCCCTGGGTCAGGAAGATCCCCTAGAGAAGGAAATGGCAACCCACTCCAGTATTCTTGCCTGAAAAATCCCAAGGACAGAGGAGCCTGGTGGGCTACAGTCCATGGGGTCGCGCAGAGTAGGACACGACTGAGTGACTAAGCATAGCGCATTAGGAAGCTCTTTCTAGAAGAGAAATAAAACATTGAAGGCTAGGTCTAGGGAGGGAGCATGGGAATAGGCAAAGAAGGAGTAAAATGAGGCATGTTGCTGAGACGGAAATGCAAAGAATGAAATAACATGGGTTGCTGGGAAGCAGGAAGGACAGGAGACAGTTAAGGTACATACACACAATGGAATAATATGCAGCCTTAAAAGGGAATGCATTTGAGTCAGTTCTAACAAGGTGGATGAACCTAGAGTCTATCATACAGAGTGAAGTAAGACAGAAAAAGACAACTATTGCATATTAATGCACATACCTGGAAGCTAGAAAGATGGTACTAATGATCCGATGTGCGGGGCAGCAAAGGAGACATGGAAATGAAGAACGGACGTTGGACACAGTGGGAGGGTGGGATGATTTGAAAGAATAGCATTGAAGCATATACATCACCACATGTAAAACAGATAGCCAGTGGGAGTTAGACGTGTGACACGGAGCCCAGAGCCCACAGTCTGTGACCACCTGGAAGGATGGGGTGGGGAGGGGGGTGGGAGGAGGCTCCTGATGGAGGGGACACGTGGACACCTACGACTCACTCATGCTGATGTATGGCAGAGAATATCACAATACTGTAATTACCATCCAATTAAAATAAATACTTTTTTAAAGATAATTGTGAACTGCAACTCTGAGTTAATGAAAACAACTGGAGAAGTCAGAAGAAAAAATCATGTAGAAACAAATGCATGCATTTAATTTTAGGTGTATGAATCCATGTTGAGAGAGGAAGAGAGAGATCATAATCACAATGACATTTTAAAAGGTAACTTTCTTTAAGAGCCTTTTTTTTTTTTAATCTCAAACACCTCCTGGAACACAAGCTGTCAGCATCAGATACTATTAATGACTATCCTGGTTAATTTGTTTATACTCAGGAAATAACTTAGTTTTGCTCTAACTCCCTCAAAGACATGGGCACAATGTGCACACATAATACACGTATTCAGTCTGCAGTGGAAGAATTTTCATCGTCAGTGCCAGCCCGTAAGAAGCACCGCACATCTCAGGATGGGACAGCCAACTGAGGCTCCATACTGCCCAAGCCCTGATGCTGTCCAAGATTGCGGGCAGGAAGAAAGGGGGGCGACAGAGGATGAGACGACTGGACGGCATCACCAACTCAATGTCCATGAGCTTGAGCAGACTCCAGGAGATAGTGAGGGGCAAGGAAGCCTGGCGTGCTGCAGTCCATGAAGTCACAGGACTCAGCGACTGAAAAATGACAATGTACGCAACGCTAGACACGCTCCAGATTTCCTGGGCTTCATTTTAGTTACCTAAACATGAAACTAACAACAGATGTTAATACCTGTTACATCTCTATATCTTAAGAAATCTGTGTTACTAGGTGAAAGAAAGTGAAAGTGAAAGTTGCTCATTTGTTTCCAGCTCTTTGCGACCCCAGGGACTATACAGAGCATGGAATTCTCCAGGCCAGAACACTGGGGAGAGCAGCCTTTCCCCTCTCCAGGGGATCTTCCCAACCAGGCGTTGAGCCCAGGTCTCCCGCACTGCAGGCAGATTCTTTGCCAGCTGAGCCACAAGGGGAGCCCACTAGGTGAAGCCTAAGTTAACCAGATAACAGCCTTGAAATTCTCTGAGAATAAAGGTTAGACCACAGACAGCAGGACTAGAAAGGACGGTTTCCCTCCATGGCAAAATTCTACATATTAAAATGAATAAAAACTATCATTAATTGCCTATCTTTAAAAAGTGATATCGATGATATGTTAACAAAGTCAGCACCCCAAAAGCAGGTGAAAAGTGCAAATATTTTGGTGCTTCCCAGGTGGCGCTAATGGTAAAAGACCCGCCTGCCAATTCAGGAGACAGAAGACACGGAGGAGGGCTTGGCAACTGGCCCCAGTATGCTTGCCTGGAGAATCCCATGGACAGAGGAGCCTGGCCTATAGCCACGGTCCATAGATTCACAAAGAGCTGGACACAACTGAAGCAACTTAACATGCACGCATGCTGTCCACACTCTATGAACATAATAAATATTCAGGAAATACTACCTCAATATATGGTAACTGTGGCCAGAAAACAGAATACACTCCACTGAGTTTAATTTTCTAAAGTTAAATACGGCTTCCCTGGTGGCTCAGTGTTAAAGAATCCATCTGCCAATGCAGGAGACATGGTTCAATCCCTGGATTGGGAAGATCCCCTGGAGAAGGAAATGGCAACCCATTCCAGTATTCTTGCCTGGGAAATCTCATGGATAGAGGAGCCTGGCAGGCTACAGTTCACGGGGTCACAAAAGAGTCAGACGCGACTTAGTGACTCAACAACAACAACAAAGTCACATAGTCGTGCATCTCTGACGTACAGGAAAAGTAATAAAAATCCAAAGAAGAGAAAAAAGGAAGAAAACAAAGAAGGGACGGAAAACCTACTGTTTACACATGAATTTGGTCTGTCCTTGCGACTCCATTTTAAAGCTGTTAGAAGAAAACTTTTCTTCCAGTGGAAGAAAGGGAGGAAGGAAAGGGAGGGAGAGAAAAAAAATGGAAACAAGAGAAAAGAGAAGAAAAAGGAAAGGAAAAAAGAAAAAAGAAACAGGAAACCTGTTGCCAGATCGCTGTCACACCTTGTGAGCTGCGCGTCAGCACAGAGTGAAAACTGTCCGATCAGAACAGAGCTTCTCTGTTCCTCCACCAAGCAAGCAGATGTTTTCATGGACACATTAGACGAAAACAGACACTAAGGGCTGCTTCTCACTCTTCTTCCTACTCAGGAAAATACATATGACAGGTCTCTTTATTGCCTAACCTGATAAGTACTCAGCAGTCCAGTCAATACAATTATACAAAAATGTGTTGGATGAATGAATAAAAAATGCTCTGGAAAAACTATAGTTTTAAGCAGTATGACTAACAGAATACTCATTGGATATTGCAATAGACAGAGTAGAGATACAGTAAAAGAGATTGACTGTGCATTCTTAGATTTAAGAAACATGTATGAATGTACATCAGAAAATCAGTTATGGAAGGGAGAATTCTCAGTGACTAACTGTGCTGTGTTTCATTTTAGTTTAAGATATTTGCAGACATTCGACCGCCTGGGCTAATTGAAGCAGGCTTGGGTTTTGAAGTGTAATTCAGCTGCAGTAAGATGAGCAATGGAAAAAACAGTGTGCTGTGATAACAGGGGTGATCTGATGACATTTATTTATGCATCTCTCCTGGCTGGTGGCAGGATCTAGTTCAGAGTCTCCTAGCAACAGTGATGTGCGCATGAGAATATGTCCATGTAAATAGCAGATGCAATGAATAAAGTTTCCATTCACTCACAGAGATGACAGCCTGGATTTCCAGACCCTGATGCTACTAAAACAATATGTTTCAAAACTGCTTCAAAGGAGCCTTGATCCTGTAGATGACACTATATAAAACTTCAAAAAGGAGTCACTGAATTACCCTAAGCTACTGTGACATGAGCACAGGTGTGGAAGTAGAATGTCATTGTATTTTGCAGATTTGAGGGGTGCAGAATTTGGAAGGCTTGGGGAAGCAATCCATTTTTCCCAAAATATCTAAGACAAGGAAAACATGGGTCAACAAATACAATTTTTTTTCTTTTTGTTTTCAAGGAAACCACTCAAATTTTGTCCTAAAATTACTTTTCACCTTGGAGCTGGTCATGATCTACTTTGTAACGTTCACCCTATGAGTCATGTACTAAGACCATGGATCAGAGTATTAGCATAGTACTGGCACCTGGATTCAACAATCATCATTAACTGTGAGATCCAGTGTGATTTGTGTGTGTGTGTCCAGGTAGTATTGATTAGCCTTTAATTATGCAAAATATCTTTATATCAAAATGCAGATCTACTGGACCACATTGAGATGAAAAGGAGCAATGTAAAGAGATAATGCACCTCTTACCAAAGAGTCATTTTGAATAATGACTTGTATTAAAACACTGCCAGGAGAAATAATTGTAAGGATGTGATCTGGTGAGGTCCAAAACCTCTGAGGCACTAATGAGACAGTCATAATATATGTAAATGCAAAATCATATGCCAAACTAACACAATATTGTACATCAACTATATTTCAGTACAGAGTTATTTTTTAAAAAATAATCACATAGATAATATTTAAAAACAGATTCCAGGTCTCAACACATTAACTTACTAAATCAGATTTTCAAAGGAAGAGTCCTAAGAATCCATATTTTTAACAAATATTTCTTTTGCTTGAGTAAGTTTGAGAAAGCCATTCTAACAAGAAAAGAAATGCCACTTTCAGAATTACTATGATTAATAATGAACAGTAGCTCTAAGGGGGTCAATGATTCTGACTCAGTGAGTATAAAATGCCACTCCTCCTCCACTCAGCAGTCCCTTATCTAAAAATGTCCAAATCTGTTCCATCTGCAGGGGGAAAAATGTGGGCAATTTCAAGTCATTTGCTACTTCATCAAATTATGGCTGGAGATCTCTCCTCTCTTTAAGTAGCATGTAATTTCCATGCCAAATGGAGCACCATAGACCTCGTCAAATTGTCCACTGCTGAACCGAGACCGCAAACCTCTGTAGATTCTAAATTGCCACATTAGTTTTTCAAAAATAAATAAAACCCTTTCCAGGAACAAAGAAGACTTTGCAAAATTGTGTTCAACCACTAGAGCAAACGGCCTTGCCTTCACCAGAAGGATTTCTTTCTTCCTCCTAGAATGAAATCTTTTTTTCTTTTTCTTCCCTCTCTCCACTTACTAATATGAAGCTCAGGGCAGGTACAAAAAAAGGAAATCAAAGTCTAAAGACCTGAGCAAAATCATCACACTCTGTGGCTGTAAATGTTTCATTGTAAAAGAAAAGTCCTGAAATAATTTGTGCTTTGATACATTTAACCAAAAGTACCAAGATACTAAAAAGAATAAAGAGCACCCTACCCAGGTAAAGCAAGTCCCATCTTACTCAAACTCCACATTTTACACAATTTTAGATACAATATTTAAAGAAAACATGCTGTTTAGATCCNCGGACACGACTGAAGCAACTCAGCAGCAGCAACAGCATGTGCAAATGATACTAAAATTTTTCATCTTAAAAATAAAAGTCCTGGGTTAACTTATAAATATTTTATGGACTGGTATTACATGGTCTTAAATTGCACATCAGAACGGTTGTACCACTTTGTAATACTTTTCTAAGCATAATATATGAGAATGCATGTTTGACCATGAGCTGGTCCTTTCCAAATTTGCTAATAGGATGAAAACATTATAAAGATTCAGGCATGTGCTATGTCTCAATCAGATTCACATTCACAGACTACAAAAATTCAAATTCACAAACTATGAAACAGCATGCGTGTTTTGTTTGATGAGTATTTTTCAAGTCGAGAAAGCACAAAGCCATGGCCATGGGGTCTGGAGATTTCTGTCTCACTCTGCACTACTAACTTCTCTCCACCTCTGCCCCTGATCCTCATCCCTGTGTGCTGCTAGAGTTCAGGCCACCAACACTGACTGTTTCTGACATTTCTGAACCTCAGAAATACCTGGAACAAACATTTAAAGGGAGCATAAAAAGGAGGAGGAGGAGGAAATGGCAACCTGCTCCAGTATTTTTGGCCTGGAAAATTCCACAGACATTGGAGCCGTGTGGGCTACAGTCCATGGGGTCGCAAAGAGTCGGACACAACTGAGTAAATGAGCACAGACCACATAAACAGCCCTGATTTAATTTCCACATTGCTTTAGTTACTATGCTAACAAACTTCTTGAGCAAAAACCAATGACGTTATCTTTTCCAAATTTTCATAAAAATGAATACATTTTCAAAGATGCTGTAGAATTTGCACTAGAAACAAAGCTGGCAGTAGACTGTACCACATTTCTGCTAACATCATAACAGGTTGTGCATAATTTATGAGAAACTAATTTAGTCTTGAACATAAATTTTCCAGTGGTGGGGAAAAGCTCTTTATTATTCATGTTTCATGATTTACCTTTTTCTCCTTTCCCTGATAAAATGTACAACTGCTATACTTCCAGACATTAACTTCTGACTGTATGGATTATGGACCAGTAGGGACCACTATGAAAGTTTCTAGACATGCGCTTGTTACAGGTGTGGATAAGAACATTTTATTTCTAATCCAATGAAAAACTGGATTAACATTTTAAATTTCTCTCTTAGGCTCCTCACTTTACAATCTAATAAAATTGCCTTCATTCGATAAATACCATTTTGGCTACTAGGCCTGATAGAAACATTTTTGTCTTTTAGATTAAAATATATATTTCCAATAGCAAAGCTAAATATTTTGAAACATATATAAAATTCCATCTTTCTGGTTTCACTGTGAGATTAGTTCCTTAACTGTACAGACACAGATCTCTGTAAGCATTAGGTGGCAATGTCACTTTGCATGTCCCTTTTTTTCACTGTAAATCTCCCTTGATCAAGTACTCAGCTTATCCCAGGGATAACAGCAAGGCATCAGACAATAGGCCTGATATAAAAGAGAAGATGATGATACTAAGTGAAGTAAGTCAGACAAAGAAAGACATATACCATATGGTATCACTCACATGTGGAATTTAATTTTTTTTAAATGACATAAATAAACTTACTTACAAAATGGAGAGAGACTCAGAAATCTTGAACACAAACTTACGGTTACCATAGGGGAAATGTCGAGGGGAGGGGCAAACTAGGAGCTTGGAATTAACATACACATGCCACGACATATAAAATAGATAACCAACAAGGACTTGCCGTATAGCACAAGGAACTCTGCTCAATATTTTGTAATAACCTATGTGGGAAAAGAATCTGAAAAAGAACGGGTCTGTATATAACTGAATCACTTAGACATATACGACACTAAAACAACACTGCAATCAACTATACACCAATAAAGCTTTTTTATTAATTCTTGCTTCTCAGGGAATGCATTCAGTCTCTAATTATAACCCCCATCATTCAGTATTCATAATTGGTCATAAGATAGTGCTGATTTTGAATGAGCAAGGGTTGCTTTGGAGCCTTTAGGCCAAACAACAAAGAAAGGGAAGGTTAGAGAAGACTTCTTGCACAGGTTGATTAAATATTTCTTATTCCCATGTTTTATACTGATACATACATGTAAATTTTATGTGTGCTATACCAGAAAAAGCATAAATGTCTTGCAGAGTCAGCTTCCAAATATTTATTTATGGGAAACTACACATTCCATGATTTTTCAGGAACTCAGTCATTCTCCCTTAGTGAAGCTCAATGCATTTATTTCTAAAATGAGGCCAATGCATTTACTTCTGAATACATCATGAAATGATTGGGTTCAAATGTCTTGATATAATACATATCAAAACCCTTAGTAAAATAAAACCTTCCACATATTTATTGAAATAATCCCACTACATGTTATTTGAAGGCAGTGTCTTTTATTCCTTGTGTGTTTTCTTGTTGTTTTGTATAGGGCCCATCTCAAAGCGGAGCATGACTAACAGCTTTCTCTTTGACTGTGTCATGTTTGCACAGACTTTTAGATTTGCTTGCAATGATCTTTCTCCCCAAATCTCACTTGGCTATACTTACTCATCTCAGGACTCAGCTTAAATGTCAGCTCTTTGGGCAGCCAGCCACTCTGGATTCACAGACCAAATTAGGGCTCACAGACAGCCAGTATCATCAGATTCTAACTGCCCTCATGGTACTTATCAGAATATAATCGAATTAGAATCAATAAATTCCTCATGTAGTTATGCATTAACACCTTCTTGTGCCCACAGGTCATAAAGGATTTTATAACTGCCATCTCCACTACAAAACATGGCACCCTTCTGGTATCTCCATTTAAGAGGACGCATGTTGTAAAAGCAATAAGCACACAACCATGTGACCAAGTACAGGCATGAGATTCAGAAGGAAGGAATGCAGTGACTTCTGTTAGATTTGAAAAGGTTACACTCATGTAAGAACACAATCGTCCCTTTTGATTCTTTCTAAATCAATCATCTTTCAGAATAAATGACTGGAGCTTTTTGAGGCCTTGTCTGCATTGTCTGCGGTAGATTTGTAGCAAACAGGAAGAGCAGTCACAAGTGACAGTCTTAAAACCAAAACTGAGGTTGCTCGTATTAGATGACTATAAATGCAAAAGGACTTCAGGGACTAACTCTTCAGATCTGAATCACTAGCACATTTAAACCACCACACACAGAAACAAGGATAGCAACACAACTCAATACTTTAGGACAAAGTGACTGATTCTCTTCATTCTTTTATCTTTAAACCATCATGCTGTCTGAATGGATTTGAATGTGAGAATAGTGAAAAAAGGTGTTACTGT